TATAGGAAGACCAAGAAATCGACGGCAAAACCAATTTTTTTTTCGACTACTACTTGGCGGTTGTGTCGCTCCCACCTCTGGATTTCGTAGTGCCGTCATGTTGGCATTAGTGGGGCCTGAGCTGCACTGAACCGCCTAGAAAATTCTCTGTTATTTCGATAATGAACAAGAGCACGCATCGGCGATTCTTGAGGAACTGATAGTCAGCCTCTGGCCCTCATCTTGAGCCAGAATAATCCAATCCACAACCTTCAGTTAATCCCATCCAGAACTAAAGTTCTGAGGCCACTCTTTGTCAGTTGTCCCCGCGACTGCTTATTCCATGCAATCGCAGCTTCTCTCCGTATCTGGAGGCCTCCCCCCCATTCGCCACGGGACCCACTTAAAAAGGCTTGACACTCCAGTACACTGAGGGGGGGTGGGTTAGAAACGTCAGCTGCACGTTCATTTGTTTCTCTTCGACTCACTTGCTTAAAAGCTTACGAAGTGTTCCATAATCGCCCATTGTCTTCAGGGGGATAAAACTGATTACTTTACTGTGGCAATTTTAAACCACAACGAAAAACCGGAACCGTGTTTCAACTCCAAGAACAGGATCTTCATCAGGAAGCCCCTGCTATAAAACCATACGCCGAGATTCTGTCCAACCCAAAGTTACTGGTTCCCCATGCATTCAACATGCTCAGCTCATCATATTCTTACCGAGCACGTCAGCTCGATGAGCAACGTTTGTGACCCATCTGTATTAGGGAGGTTCCCTATTCACACCTCGGTCGGTGCACAGATTATTTCGTTGTTTTCCTCAGTCCCTCTAGGCGAGCGGCAGAACATTGAAATTGGCCACGACCACTTCCTCCTCAATCCTATCACGTCCCCCGTGCCTAATAGTATTAGTTTTCAGTACTTGATACAGCATTGTTTAATAGTCTGCAATTCACCCTTCATTGTCTCCTGCGTTTTTCTGTAACAGCCCGTCTGAACCAACTTCTTCAGAAGCTGATAGTTGTTCAGCTGGTGGTCAATCAGATGTATCATGGCGTCCAAAAATGATCACAAATGTGAGAGAGAAGGTATGGATTTGGAAAGTGGCAATCAGGGTTTTGGCATATTTCATGTGCGATCTTGTAGTTCCCGAATAAAACCACGAACTTCAGTTAATGTGGCCGCCATTGCGCTGCTCATTTTCAACGCGCCGTGTGCGCGCGCATGCGACCAGTAACACATCCATTAGCGGGCTTTTAACGCGTAATGGCTAAATTACGTGCACGAGAATCGATGTGGCACCAGCCGGTCCAAGTCATGCAACGTCAGTTCCTTCACGAGATGATATTCCGAAATACAACAATGCTGATCTGTTATCGGCATTTCCAACAATCTCAGAATACATCCGAAATAAAAATTATCGAAAAGTTCAGTCACCATTGCTGGACGGAAAATGACCCAGACATTTCGAACGTCGGATTTTAGTCCCTTCTGAGTGCACAGATTTTGGCGAAAAACATTTTTCGCTGCAACTATTTATATACAGATAACCTGAAACTACAATAAAGAGTGAAATTCGATATTTTAGTTAAAGAATTTGCTGCTAGAATACTAACTTTGGTCTCCTGCATTACCAACAAATATTTTTATTTACGCAACTAATAAAATTAACCAGAAAATGGATAAAGGATTCTGGAGAGACAGTGCAGGTCCAAAATACTCAATTCCATTTTTATTTTAAAGTGCAATATGCAAATCATTATTTCTCCTGCGTGTCCAGAGACTAGTGTCAATTCATTATTTGAAGTAACGGTGGATGTTGTCAGCACTGATATCCCGCGGTTATCATGAGGTGTACTGCATCATCAGTAAACTAATCACCATGGATACCTGTTAAATAAACCACATTCATGTTATTAAAAGGAAATTTATACCATACCATGGTGATGGCACGGGGTGTCTCTAGCTACCGCTACCGCTTTAGTCCAGAAAGCATTTTTGTGACTTCCAATGAATTTCAAATGTTTGGATAACAAAACAATAATTCACCACCCAATACTGCTCATATATTTCAAGAAATGGTATTGCATCAAGAGAAATCGTTCAAACAGCGTAACTGTGTGATTACTATCAACTTTTAAACAAGGTCCCTGCTTCGTAAGCAGATTGTGCAGTTATGATGACGGTTTGTGTGAGACAACGCATTTATGAATCGAATTTAATTTATGGTATAAATTCAAGGCCAAATACAACTTACGCAGATTAAATGTATACTTACTGTGCTTTTGTGAAACTTAGTTCAGTTCCAGAATTGAGACCGGTTAACCCAAACCCTAACTACGTGATTTCCGAAAGGAAAATGCGGAGAACTAATGCTGGCATTATCTGATGTTCTGTGCCTAGCGATCTGTCACAGAGGCGTAAAGGGAGGAGAATTGTCTTCTTCTCCCCATCAGATTAAATCCACAAATACTTTTGTTTCCAACAAACACGGAACACAGAGCTAAAGAACATTACTGTGCGCTTGTGTACAACAAAGAGTGCACGAACATACGACTGATGCTTGCAGCTGCCACGCACGCTTCACAGCCCTAAGTTTTAAAATATCAAAACTGAAAAAAATTAGAACAGCAGAAACTTTTTAACTTTGAAGTGACAGTGTCATAAATTTGCCCGAAGCATGCATCCAGCAACTTGTCTAAAATGCCGGCAGCCACCTACAAAACTGCGTGGTGTCGCAGGCCAAAAGACGACTTATTAAATGGTTTGTACAACAGACCAGCACAAATAGCGATTTCATTTGCAACATACATAATTAAAAATAATCAGTATAAAATTTAGTAAAACCCAATATAGAACTGTGGAAAATGTAAATTTCACCTGTTATTTTCTAATGTAACCAAATTAAACACTGTCCATCATAAGTTAATTTCATCATAAAAGCCTCCTTTTAATATTTCTGTCGAAGTTCAAAATTTATATTTTTATTTTTTTTAGCACGGGAGGAGTCGAGTTTGAATGCCAGAAAAGTCTCTGTTCTGTAAGACAGGGTTATGTTGGCACATGGTGAACACAATGAATCATCCAATGCAGAGCACAGAGAGGAAGCCTGATTATCACCATTTAATATACAACTTTGAAAAACACAAGATTCCAATCGCAATCCAGTATCAATTAAATCACTTTACGCAAATACTCATCCACATGTCTTGCTCTGGAAAACCTACAACAGTTCTTCACAAAACATAAAATCATGCAACTAAACGAAATTACGTAACTTCCTGAATCAAAATCAGTCTCCTGCACGTATATAATTACGTTACAGTTTCTCATTAATTCCCAGAACAATGTTCAGAACTGAGCTTCGTGACTCTGTAAGGACCAACCGAGTCATCAGACTCCGACTTCTAGGCAGCGGGAAAATCGTTGCCTAGAAGTCGGTTTGTGAGGTAATGCAAAATAGTGGTACATTTACTTTATATTCCTCTCATTTAAGTGGTCTGGTTAGTCTTGTCAGATGCGGCACTTCTCACATTTCTGTCTGTCAAAAACAGCGCGAAAATTCGTGAGAATGCTAAAATCATTTTCCCCCCATGAGGGATCAAAAACTGGCCACCCAGTGCACAGTCAGACACTACATTGACCAAGTTACACCGGCTCACTGATGTCGATCTGTAAGTGCTACAGAGACATCGTGAAGTCAGAAACAAACTGCATAATTAATGACTCAGACCATCCACAGAAACACAAAAATATTATTAGGCTGCAGTAAAAGCGTATAGAAGAACAGATTTAAGTTCTGTACCTGACCTTTTCAGTCATGACTGTAAACTGAAAATTCTATCTGCTGGATTATATTGTTCTTAGGCATACAAACTTAAATATGGATCATACATAATGCATCTTTCCAAAGTAATAAAATGGTATTAAGTGCGTGTTAACCCTAGTGTATAAGATTCGAACTAGAGACAGAATGAATTTGACTCTATTTACCCTGTGTGTGGTCAACATTTCTACCACAATTTAAGCAGTATACCACCAGGACTCTCTGTTCACGGAACCAGTTCTAAACAAAGTTACGACTATCGCACTCTAAAATAACTATGCACGTAAAAATATTTACCTTGCAAAAAAACAAAATACAGTTCAGAAATATTAAAACTCAAGTTAGCTGTCCAGGACTATAATAAATTGAGCCATTAATGTGGCGACGCTGTTCATCTGGTTTATGAGGCCATGTAGACTTGCATATAAACACCAAACGTCTAGGGAAACGTGCCGATATCTACCTCCAAGTCGGTATGACATCAAAACCCAGAAGAACATCATCATCATCATCTTTACTGTCATGAGAACCTCAAATCGCAAGGAGCTATTAACTTAATTACATCGCAGTACCCCATAATACATAAACATTTGAGCACTTCATTAATATTTTCTTGATTGGGGTAATGCGAGAGGCACCATGGGTACACCACACACACAACGCGCACTACAAGCTTACAGAACGTCACTGCTTCTGCTCTGAGGACATAGATCCTTAAAATGATCACAGTACATTAAGCACTTCATGCATCGCAACTCTACATTGTGGTCTTGCGCTAAGGCCAGGCATTTTGGCACAGTGTGCAGAGTACCAATATGAGTTAACCTCTCTTAAACTTGAGGACAGCCATGCTGATACTAAGGAACAAAACAATCCAAATTATTGTTGCTATGTAGCCATTGTACACATCAGGTTCCACAATTGACCACCCTCGTGACAGCATGGAGCGGAGCGATGTGGTTGCCATCGTCAGCGGCAGACCAAGACTGATGTAGCGCAGGACGCATGGCATGCCCTCTATTGGCCAGATCACGCCTGTACAAGAATATATCTCAGTTGACACAATCAGTTTATATCTCAAAGTGGACTGAGTCCGCTACTTGTTTTTCAGACTATCTGTGATCACAAATGAAAACAGAGAAAGGCTATTCATATTTAAAACGGAACAAGTGACAGTGCAAATGCAATTATAACGCAGATGCACGGTTTAACTGAAATATCGGTTTACCTCAAGATAGTCTATCACCACCGTAACTTACCACTGAGTAGCAGAGTGGGGTAGAAGCTCCCCAGGGCCAGCTGAATGGCGTTCCTTTCTAGTTCGCATATCGCTGATATAACAAATCCTATGAACATAATCCGTACATGTGAGGTACATTTAAAAACTGTCTACAACAGTGACACAAGTCCCATTCAAGCATTTACAATAATAATATTCATAAGCTGTTTAACATTGCTTTTCCAACTGAAAATTTCATATGCTATATAAAAAGCAAAAACTGTGAAGGATAATTTGCAGAATGATAGCAAAATTTATTAAAATGTTTACTTCAAGGAATTCAGGAAGCCATGAAAATTCTTAGGACACAAGGTCTTCTGCCTGACGTTAAAACCTGCCCAGTTACGAAGCAGAAATGCTAACCACTGAACTATAATGTTCAATCTGGCACTACGGACAAACCCAGAAAAATAGTCCAAAATCTGAGGATGAGAGGGAATTGCTCTGCTGTGTAATGCATAGCTTATACAGCTCAGGGACCCAAACTTCATTCTGAGGCGATCAACTTCAAGAAACAACGACAAAAAGTAAGGAATTTGCTACAAAACAAAAGAGTAAAGGAAGTTGGAAGGTGCACAACATCATTTAAAACAAATTTTGAGCTCATATATGCAGTCAGTGTTATTTGTACATGAATAATGTTAAATATGGATGAGTATCAACTGATGTTTCAGTGTAAATACGCTGAGTCGCACGGTAAAGATGGCAAATTTGTGTGCTGAATTATATTGCAGAAGAGAACAGCCCAATATTGAGGCACAATTAGATATCATAGCAGAGAAGCCATGAATTCCTATGCAGAAGAAATATTTTGAACAATTTATGTAGGTGTAAAGAATTAAAGCATACTCACCAAAACACATGCCACAGAGTCCTTGTAGAATCGTCAGGATCACAGCTGACAGCACATTGCCCTTACACTCAACTCCAAACACAATAATCATAAAGATAAGCACCAGTGCTGTTTGACCACACATCACCACAAACTGCGTTATCACGTGCGAGAACAAGATCTCAAATGGCGTTACTCCTGGAAACAACACAGACAAACAAGTAGATGATCACTAACTAACTTTGAACCAAATTGATCGCCTCTCTTCCATTAATAGGTACAAACATGACAAGCTTTTTCTAAGCTACAGATAGCTATAAAATTTAATAACATTAATTCAATTTATGTAACTCAATGCAAAGTGTTTAACATAGTAACTAGTTACCTGCTACCCAACTGCGGTCCAGCAAACCCTCCATTCGCTCGATAATCAGCGCTGATGATGTAAGTGCAACGGCCAAGAAGAATACAATCCTAGAAGGAAACATGAGCTCTCATTAACTGCATATTTGCAAATAAGTGTAAAGGAATTACCAGAAATTAATCTGACAACAAATTTTTACAAAAGACAGCATTTCAGCATTTCTTACCATCATAACTAGGAAAGTTATGATGTTGAAAAATGCACAGAACTCCACAGTCATTCTTGCACTACCAGTGCAAGAACATATTACAATTTTTTTCTGTATTCATGCTGTTTCCAACACTTACGTCAGAATAACACCTGGAGCCACAAAGTCAGTGAAGCTGGGTTCATTGCTTCCATAGACCGGGTCTTTGAACTGAAAGAATAAAAAAAAGATTTGATGATTAAATCAGAATAATGCCTCCAGAAGCAGATGTTTGACGTTCAGCAGAGCTTCACTGGAAACAATGATAAACTGTGGGAGACAAAGAGGGTACAGAATCTGAAGATTCCTAATACTCCACAGACGCGTGTCTTTGTTTCATGATCACAGCTCTGAAAGCAAACAACAATTTTATCCCCAAACACTGACCTGTCTCTGAATAAAATATGCATTAAATGTACTCACAAGATAATTACTGTATTTATCAAATTTTATTTGCTTCCTGATATCATTCTTATTACATCATGAAGATGCTATCAAAACTCAACTGAACACGAGAAACTTCAACAGAGACTGTTTCTTGTTCAGCTAGGCCCGGTATCCTGTGAAGAACAAGCTATCCAATCAGAAAGTTGACAGAGACAACAGAGGGAGCATTTCACTCACCCACCAGTTCCCATTTGATAGAATAAGTCCATGAACACAGGGGCCGGACCGGTATATACAAGACACGGACTGAAACTTCAGCCACAACAGTACCCCGAGTATGAGGACAGAGATGGTTTTCTCACATTTCTCTCCTGTGACATGGCTGGTAGCCGGAGAGAACTATATTCTATCAAGTTGCTGTGGAAGCTGACGATCATACTGCCCTAACAGTTTTGGCCCATGCGAGTTTATGCGTGAAAATAGACTAAATGGGCACCAGAATGCATTCAACCCCTTTCCATCATATGTTGTTCCATAAGTGACACAAAAAATGCTTAAGTTGTGTGTCAACATGTGATCAATGAAATTTCTCTTTGAATTTCTTTAGTTGTTTCTCGATAATACGTCACTGTCGGCCACCGCAAATTCTGATAAAATTACACATGTGCAGGGTTAACTATTTTTAAACCTTGTGTAAGGTATAGAGTGGCCACTCAGTACCTGGATTGGAATGTCTGCCAGTTTGGGGTTGTCTCCACAAGCTGTTAACAGTGTCTGGGCAAAATCTCGATATGACAACTGCAGGTTTCGATTCAGCATCAGTCCAATCTGCTGATCTGTAATGACAGCCAATGGCAGCAGCAGAATTAGTGACAGTGCTAATTGCAGTACCAATATAGCAGCATTTAATGTATTCTCTTAGCAGCATTACTGGTGTTAAAAACAGTATCGGCAGTGGCAGCAATACTAATGACAATGGTAAAGTGTAAATACACAAAAATGTATTGAAAACACATAGGCACCTACATCCATATATAATGCTGTAAACATTTAAAAGAAAGACACGTACACTTGCTTTGCTCTGTAGCACTGTCAGATCAGAAAGTACTCACTCGACATGACTGTCGTCTGTAATGTTGGACCCTATATTCTCATAGAAAGTGACCAACGTTTCTGAGTTCCTTATGATTTCCATCAATAAGCCATCGTGATGGCAACATCCTAGAAGACAGTCACATTCAAAACTCTCACTAAACACTCACTGGACATGTCGAGCCACACTCGGATCTCGCTCTGATCGAGGGTCTCCTCATCCGAGTCCTTGCCGAGAGCCATCCGAGCCACCAGCGCGTCGGTGAAGTTCTCTGTAAAGTACAGGACGCCCCACGCCTCACCACTTCTAACAGCATTAAGAGCAGTGTCTGGTGATGGGTAATAAACCTGCAATTTGGTTTCATGTGCATACACTTGCATATTGGACTTCCAAAAAAACATGTCAGTAGTCACGTCAAACTTTAATAAAAGAGACACTATTACAAAAATATCAGAATAAAATGTTACTAAAATTTTAAAGCTACGGAGATTAGGGTTGGACATCAAGGGAAAAACAAATATGAAGAAGACGGATGGAATAAATGTGTTTCCTGAGAGCGGTCACAGAATACAGAACAAAGGATTATAAATTCAATGAAGATAAGTAGATAAGAAATGGGAATGGTATAAAGGTGTGATAAGAAACTATGAAAATAAATGGCTATAACATTTATAAAGAATGTCAACAAACCAAAATCTTAAGCTGCCTTATTAGCATAAACCACGGTAAAGATATCAGGGAGATGAGATGAAGGTGTCCTATGTCTTCTCACTTGAATGGCTTAGATGAATTACAATAATCCGTGACCAACTGCATTTCACAACCTGACACTGCTGCAGATCAATCACAATATTCAGCACAAAAAATAGGTTTTCTCCTTTAACTAATCAAAATTCAGACCCTTTTCTAATCATTATCACTGATGTTCTAGCAGAACTATGATTTAAATGCTGATTTAATTATTATGCCTATGGCTTTCTTCTCAGATAGATTCAACAGCAGATCATACCAATATCTCTTTTTCATAAAAGACAAATAAAAACGTTAAAAATATTCACCAAGAATGAGAGAATCACAGAAGTTCAAACAATATATTTCAGTCCAAGTATCTAATTAGTGTAGATTGCAGAAACAGTGAATTAACCCCCTCCTCTTCCTCATTCACATGCTAGTAGCAGCAATTTTGTAATTTTGGTAGATGGCAGAGGCAGCTGAAAATGGCAGAAGGGGTCAAAAGAGCCTGATTAAGCCTCTGTTGTCAGCGAGTAAGAACACAGTCTCACCTTTTGTATAGATTCATTATTGAGATTCTGTAAATATCGACAACTGAGCATCTTAAAACTGCAGCCAGTATTGTATTCACATCTTTCTCCAGTGAAGTTCAGTTCGTGATTCACGATGGCAAGCCGAAGTCCTGTGGGGTCGCGTCCAATAGCGAGGCAGAACAGGATCACCTGCATCACTGGCAGTGCAAAGATGAACAGCATCACCCTGCAATAAAAGCGCAGAATCACCGACATGATCTGGACGCGACGGTCAAAGCAGTGACGCGTTGTATCGTGACATGACTCACCCCACATTCCTCCACATGCGCAGAAAATTCTTCTGTAGCAGAGCTCGCATCTTACCCGCAGTCGTAAGTTGGCAGCAGTCAGTTAAGTCGTCGCAGGCAACCGATGTCTCTGCCTTCCCTCCATTTCCAGCCTTCCCATTCATCTGTTAAAGCAAGACAGCTTTCTGAGATCTGAGGTTCTCGCAGCAGCAAGTAAAAGATGACTGTCCTCTGGGTTGGTGCACCAAGTACTCTGGTACAAGTTTACTAAAATTTCAGTGATGCTTGCTGCCTCCATAATCAGGAAAATTTGGCAAACATCTATCAGAGTACACGGTTCAACAACCCAGGGGACAGACATCTTCAAGAGAGCCTTCCATTCATTCCTCACCCGCAGAATGAATTTACCCCAGACATATCAAAGACATAAGATATTCTCATCACAACACTACTCGCCAGATTCAACTGTGGTTCACAGATCCGTAACTATAATACCCTAAATTCAGCAACATATTCCACCTGGCATGCACTCGTTAACTTACGTCATAATGGTTGAGTCCATTGGCTGAATCTGTGATAAGAACTTCTTTAGACTGATGGAAGTTGAGGCCGACAACTCCGCTTTCCTCTGTAATGTACACTGGTTCATCCTTGTGGCCCCTGTGCAACGAAGCCTGTAGAACACACATATTTACACTATAGGGTTGGTCTTCACATTTTTAGAACAAATCAGAACCAAAAATGTGCATAAATTTGCTATATCAATAATCTATTGTGTTACTGAATTCAATTTTTTGGACTGTTCCAATTATCATTATGCTTCCTCAAATGTCACGTTTCGGGAGATGGTTCTTCCGCCATCCTCAGGTGAACTTACACAGTTCGGCCCATTAGGAGGAGCTAACCTTTATCTGTGGATGAAGAACATAGGATATTACACCTGTAGGATTTGAGGTTTTCATGGCAGCGAGTCTGAAGATTGCTGTCTTCTGGGTTGTAATCTGGTAGATGTCCACCAACGTTTCAGAGATCATGCTGCTTCCACCATCAGGGCAATGAATTACACGGCGCAACAACCCAGAAGACGGCAATCTTCGATATGACACCTCTTAAATCCTGACTAAGGCTTTCATTGAGACAATATAATTATGACTTTTTCATATTTAACTGACTTTATAAAGAAATTTTATAAATGCAGTGATTTGCAAAGATAATATTACAATAAATTGTATTACTCTTCAACACAAAGAGGTTCATTTGCGTCAACTTTGACAATCATATTATGCTACTTAATCACATTCTGGAGAACTCACTCTTCATACTACATCTTATTTTAATGTACGTTTGGGCAAGAAAGTAGCAGGACATTTATCTAGCTATAGCACATTGTGGTCAGAAACAAACCAGCGACACGTTGTTTGAAATGTTCAGCTCGGTGACGTTGGTATTGCTGCCTTGTTTGCGACTCAGTTTAAGAAATACTTCTTCCAGTGACTGGCAGCCATACATAGAAAGCAGAACGTGTGGAGACTCTTCTGCCAGCAACTTTCCACTACGCATCAGACCAATCTGGAGAAGTTAATTATAAATTACTACAGCAATTAATCATCACACATAACAAAAAATATGTCTTATACTTTAAAACTAAAATGAAAGTTCTGTCATGTGAACATGTCTGCCTGAAACCAATAATATGTTGGCATTTTACTTGTATCAGAAACAGATAATTGTTTATCGGAAATAGATGGAACACACAGGCAAAGAGAAGAGAATGCGCTGCCAACAGAAATTTCTGGAGCAAGGAACCGACATGGTGAGATCTCGGGTTCTCACGGTGACAAGCATGAGGATGGCTGTCTACTCAGATGAAGCGCCACGCAGTGGTGCAACATCCCCAAGGAAATGACATGTTATTGAAGCAGACTTCTTCACCTGTGTAATTAACATCTGACATTCTTCTTCTGTCCATGTGCCCTTATTTACTACGCACACAAAACTCACAAACCCTTCCACACTTTATGTTCTCACTTACTGTATGTGCCTGTCTTGCTTCTTCTATATAATGTGTGGTAATTATCACTGTTTTGTTTCCATCTTTGGTTATCTGCACCAAATGATTCCATATGCTTTGCCGCAGCAGTGGGTCAACTCCCACTGTCGGCTCATCTAGGATCAGAAGCTCAGGATCATGCATCAGTGCTACGGCAAATGAAACTCGGCGCTGTTGGCCTCCACTGAAATAATTAAAATATGATGAAAGTCTGTATTAATATCTTGTTTATATAATGATGCTGTCAGGAAAATCACTCCGCAGACCAAGATTTGAACCCAAGATCTCTTAAATATGAAGCAGAAGTACTATTCACTTCACTGCAGCGTGCTGTGGCTTGTGGTTCGTCGCTTCAGAAACATCCTCTACTTGATTATAAATCATTAAGGAACACCAAACAAAGATGTAGGGCTGTTGCTATTAACTGACCAATTCTTCAACCATCATTATTTTCATTTTTCATGTTTACGACGCTATGAAACAGGACTCTAAATTATTACATTTTCAACATCAGAATTTAAAATTTAATTAAAATAATGAAATATATCTCCTAATGGCATCTGTTTCAATTCTTAATCCTAAAATTTCTCAGCAAAAATGTGTCCATTTTCATTGCATATTATAAAAGAATTCTGAATCAGTATTTTCTTACTAATAACATTAAACTGATGTGTTTGTGTGTGGGTCTGAAATACACAAGAGGAATAAGAATAAGAAATATGCAACACAATGCCATGCCTTAGGAAAATAAGAAGGGTTTTTATTAAAACTGTCACAGTATAACAAAGGTGAGGGCAGCACAATGATCCCTCTTAGAATAACAAATATGTGCATACCTGAGATTCTTCACAAGTCGGTTCTGACTTGGCAGATCAAGGAAGTCGAGAAGAAACTGCAACCGTTCATTGATTTCTGAAGTGCCCATGCTGAAGATCCATCCAAAGTACATCATCGTCTCTCGAATTGAGAACTCCCCATACAATGCAATCTCCTAAAACAGCAGTGAAGAATGTTATTCTCATTTCATTCCCAATTCCCTGCAGACGCTGAGTTTATTGCAAAATGGCAGACTAAAGATGGAATAATCTGCAACGTTCTTTTGTGGAGCACAGCGGATAGGATCCAGTGCTCTTTCCCGGGAAGAAAGGGGAGGAAGGAATGGGGATAGAATGTAATGGTTTTCATGACAACGCACAAGCACGTGCGTGAAAGCTACCACCATGTCTGCAGCTCGATTGCACAATTTCTTATTTTTCATTACAAGGTTTTTATTTTATTTCTGTAATTAAAAAAAACTATCTGCATAATCAAGGAACTCACAAAGCCACGTTCTTAAAGCAAAATTTTTACTGTAGTGATAAAAGGATCTCTTACGTTTGTTCCATACTATTTAACTGTTAACACACTGGCATCTGTACGAGCTGAAACTGCAATCAATATTGTTTTAAAGTCAAGAAAGCATAAAATATTGCCGAATAAGAAGAATATTTGACTACGATATGAGATTTGTTCAACCCCATCAAACCTACTCCCCCAGCCACCTAACTCTCTGCTCTGTCAGTACCTGAGGCATGTACCCCACTCTCCGGCCGGGCACTCCGCTGCCCTTCGTGCCCGGCTTGCCGCCCAGCACGTAGATCTCGCCAGTGTTGAGTCGTCGCCTTCCCACAATGCAACTGAGTAGTGTTGTCTTACCACAGCCACTTGCACCTAGCAGACCGTATCTGAAACAAATGAAGGTAAATGGTCATCTTCAAGTTCCAGCCACTTTAAATTCTCTAGTAATCCTGGACAGGAGCTTGGGTGGGTCAGAGTCAGTCTGGGTGTGGTGACCGGAAATAAGTCTCAGTCGTTCAGCCTTGGTCTTCAATGGTTCACAACCTGTGGTCATGATTCATGGGCCAATAGAGGAAAATTAACTATAATCGGACGGCTATGCACGTCAGTGTTGTTCTTCTGAGTTATAACACTGTGTCGTGGACGTGCAGGTAGACACAAGCATTTCCTCAAAGAAACATAATGTCTCCACCTTCAGAACCATAAACTGAACTTCAATGTGGGACACATATTTCCTTCTTGTTACATATTTTAAACAGGGTTTCAGATTGTTTAGGGGAGAATTCATGAACTCGCAGCAAAACATTTGTGTCAGAGGTCCACATATGTAAATAAAGTCTGTTTACCTTTCAGAACTCAAACTGAACAAGTCTGTCATGTCACAGAGGGGTTAAGATGGGATTGAACGTAGTTACAGCTGTGGAAGGAGGTAACTTGCCTCTCATTAAAACTGTTTGCCCCTAGGTCCTGCTGACCCGTCCATACTTGCTTTCACTCTTGTTAGGATTTTCACTTCAATACGGTCAGTATAATACATGCGTAGCTATCACACATCTAGAGTTTTCCTGCAAAGTTCACAGGACCATCACATTTGAAAATGATTCTCTTCCATATTCACATGAAAAGAGTGAATTTGCTCAGTCAGCGCAATGTCTGTTTTTATGCATGTGAGAATATAGGAAACAACAGGATGAATGAGAAATTAAGCAACAACCTGTAAATGCAGGATTTCTTGATTGGCTGAGACATCTTGAGCCTGAAAAGTTGCTACATGCAATTTGTTCACATGACCGTCTCCCAGTTCTACTACCGCGAAAGTACTGCAATCAGAGTAATGAAATTGAGAAATTCAAATGAACATGTTGACGTAGTTGCAAATTCTCAACTTAATATTACTACGTAGATCCAGTTTGAGGCTCACTCCATATTCCGTTTAATGAGTCTAAACAATATTAGATTGATTAGTAACTAAATTAAGTCACTGACAATCCCTGTATTCTGATGTCCTACGACGTGGTTTAGTTGGTAATTAGTGAACACTTTAAACTGTGTGTAACTGGGTCGTTGCCCACATGAACTTCTAGCTGCATGCCAATTAAAAATCTAAAGATGGCGGCAGTATTGGTACGCAAGGAGAAGACAACAAAACGCAACAACTCAGAAGAACAAAGGGCAAGTTCACACCACCCAGAAAACATCAGATACTCCACAGTTAAAAAGGTTCATTTATGTTTGGCCCCCGGACAGCGCCATCTGTCGGCCTGGCCTCAAGGTGTGTGGAGTCCTTCCACTGAGGCGACAAACCACCAATGAACAACAGCGTACATTAGCCTGACTTTCCCTTTCACCTTTCTCCGAGTGATGTAACAAGAAAGCGAAAATATTATGCACACGTCATGGTTACATAACTCATTGACCACCTTCGTGGACTCGAAGTAGGTCGCGGGTGGGAGGGGAAATGGCCGGGCCATCCCGTTGCCATGGAAACGTGCTGAGGGAGCTCCAAATGCTTAGGGGGAAAAACACGAACCCGGTATTGGAACACAGAGAAAGTTCCACATATCAAATAGTTCCTTATTGTGGTCTGAATCATTTCCAGTTTGAAACTAAATTTTGTAATGGCATAAATCCTCATGTATCGGCCGCATTTCGCAAAAAATGGCTGTAACTGAAACAAAATGCAGTGCCCAGAAAGTCCAAAGACCATCCACTGGCCATGACTATAACTGCAAAGATTTCTGTAAAACTGGTTCAATGCAAAATACAAGGATTTCCGCTATGGCTGGCTATCTGTCTGTTGTCACTGAAGTTCGAGCTAAACGCAGAAGTTCTGGGACCACACACACACTTCATTTTGGTGGCACATTTACTGATCGCCTGATGATGGAGGCAGCAAGGATCTTTGGGACGTTGGTAAAATTCTATCAGACAACAGGGCGCTAGAAACCAGAAGACTGTCACCTTCGCACTCGAAGCCGTGAGAGCCTCAAATACTACTTCGCTTTCACTGAGTGTCTGGTCGTCTCAGATCTGCAAACTCTGGCGCTGAAACGATGCTGCTGCATGCGAGGATAAGAAAACAGAAGTAGTTACAAACAAGATTTCGAAGAAAAATTGCGCGATTTTCATTAAAAGACCACGTGCCTGAAGAACAAAGGAATGGGATGATACGATGTTGCATTTTCAAAAGCCAGCGTTAATCTTGGTTTGCGCACTTGCGTTCTGTATTCCGGATGTCAAAGCACGTGTTCCATGACTCGAAGAAAAATGTCCAGCGCGTCACTGCCTACGAACTGTATTTGACTTCTGAGTCAGGTGCGAATAAATCGTGTTCTGCAGATCCGCGTGCTAGAACAGACTAGTGAAAATTCCAGTCCAGAAACCAAGGTCTGATGTAAACAGTTTCTTGATGCTAATCGTACCACTTGTCACATAGACACGTTTATTCGTTTATATAACGTCGTTGCATTACATATTTGTATTTTGTGGCGTCAAACTAAATATGACGAAATGATTATGAATAGTTTGATGGGAAGCAGGCAACAGGAAAATGCAGCTGACCGATTTAAGAGACACTAATGAAATGCCCCGATCAGAATAGCTAGTTTCGCAATTGAGTGCTAACCACTGCAAAGTCTCATGCCATGTTCAGACAACGACTAGCTATCTCTTTCTAGTCCGTGTTTTACACGTGTGCCGGTATCGCTCAAGTAAATTAAAACATGGCACGTTATTGTAATTTAGCCCTTGTCAGTTAGTCCCTTTTAACAACATACTGAAGTTCAGAAGCGAAGCGTTCATGTTAACCACGTCAGCCCGGCTACTACCTTAGAAAACGAGTATCAGAACGACCAAAGCTTTATTTAAAATACTGGAAAACGGCAGGACGTGATCAAATAAGATGAATCATTAGGCAGTACCAGCCAGCAAGTGACAGAAATGTTCTGAGTTTCAACCTCCTACACCCACGGA